ACCACATCAAAAAAAAGTAGTTACAAACAGAAATCCAGTCCAGCAGCCCTTCACTTTTGACCTGGGATCTGTAGCCATACTTTTCTGGCTCAATTTTACTTCTGTTTAAAAACTGGAATACTACAAAAAGCCTATCTATAGACAGTAGATCCAGGATTTCCCAGGTAAGAAATAGACATTTAAGGTGTTTTGATTTAACTTTTTTGTTTAAACTTTTGTTTAAACAATCACTGGGACTGGGACAAGGGGAACAACCTTCCAGCAGCATCATCATTTTCCTTTGGCACACTGAAAATGTCAAGGATTTTCCAACATGTGTTATTATCTTGTGGGGACGCTGAAAGCAGAAGGAATCTGGAAGTGAAGTGAGGAGCTCAGAATTTCAAAGTGAAAAGGGTGAAAACTAAAAGATAAAAGAAGTAAAGCTAATTTTAAGCCCATTCCCTAATTTGTAACGCTCTAGTTACTGTGAGCAGATATGGAAACACAAAGCCTCTGATTCTCTCAAGCCCTGCCCAGCATGCAGGAGGCCAGGGGAAGCACACAGGGAGGTAGAACACATACCTTCTGATGAAAAGTCCAGATTTAGGGCACTCCAAGTGAATTAGACACAAGGAACTATCCCAGGTAACTCCAGGCAATTGAAACATGGCATAATTACTGATTAAAATTACACCGTTATAGAATTCTTATGGCTCCCAAGACATGAGAAATCACAGCTGATCTCATGCAAGCAAGAGGTGGGACACTTGTGCTCAGCAGCTTCCCACATGTAGAGTCCCAAGCCCTAGGAACACATTTTAGGATAAGCAGACACTTTTACCTCTTCCCAGGTCCTGAGGAGGACAGGGTGGGTGGTCTTTTCCAAAGGGCAGCAGACTTGGCTCCTTGTGTCACAGGACCACTGGAAGGGCTCATCCACACACCAGCCTCTCCCCAGGGAGCCCACAGCCAGATCTTTTCCATAGCAGGGTTTAAAAAAATCCTATCCATCATGCTTAGCAGTGTCAGCCTGCTGCCAAAGTTTGTCAGCTATAGCCTGTAAGCATCCAACATTTTAGGTTGGAATCCAAGCCCTCTGTTCCATATGTAAAAGCTTTAGGGCAAACACAGAGTTTGCACCCACAGCACAAAATTTCTCGTGGGTGGTTTTCCCCCATATGCAAAAACAATTAACAGTGTTTGAATTAGAATGTTCTTAACATGTTCATTTTATGATCTAGTGGTTTTATTGTCACCACTGACACTGCTCATGCTCCCCAGCCAGCTGTAAAGGGGTGGCATGCTGGGCTGAAGCAGGAGCTGCCTTGGCAGTGACAAATCAGCCCTCCTGAGCTCCCACAAAACCTGGCAGATCCACAACAAAATCCCAGTCTGGGACTATAACATGGAAGACTGACCAGCACTGAAATTCAGCTCACCTGGGGAAGAATTTGCCCTTCTATTGCTCAGAAGGCCTTTATCCTTGTTCTTAACCCCTCACTGAGCTCAAAGTAAATTGTGTGATGTCCTTCTGCCTTCCAGCAGTCCTTGCCTGTTATATCTGGGGAAAGCAGCTGCTGGAGACAGCTGGAAGGAGACTTTTATGATTATTACAGTAGCTGCAAAGTCATCTGTGCCATGGTTAGCACTCAGATGTTTAGCAGTTTCTGTCACCAACACAAATTTTAATGTAGAAATGAGTCTGCAGGCAGCCAGGGGAACCCACAGCACCCCAGCCCAGCCATGTTTCGAGAGAGGGGCAGCTGCAAGGGGCTGGAAATCCCCTGGAAGATGCAGGAGACATTGCTGGGAGCTCATGGTTTGGTCACTGTCACAACGACACAGATGTGACAGAATGGAAAATTGACTTATAAACTGAAAATACTGAGACACTTTTACTGTCATGAGATGTATTTCTAATGGGAGCATTTAAAGAGTTTGTGTCTCATAAGATGATGTTCCTAATTTCAGAGAAAAAAAAAAAGACTGCTCATCTGAGCCTTTCAGATGCACATCAGCCAGCAAGTAATTGAAGACAAAGTGTTTTTCTGTAATAAACCTTCATAATGAAGCACCAGAGGAAAATCCTAAAGTTCAACTCAATAAATCACACTAATCTGCAGAATGGGATTTTCCTGCCACTAATCTTGTTAGAGCTGGGGCACTGTGCAAATATATCCAAACACATAATTACTGGAGAGATATTAAACGGATCGATTTATTTCAATAAAAAATGCAAACTTTGAGGAGAATTCATTAATGCTCAAAATCCAGCCAGGCAATAAATAACACTAATGAACTGAGAAAAAGGAATAGATGAACAAGTACTGACATGATGTCTTATGCTTATTGCTGTTAAAGAGGAGCTGACAACTACTCCATTTGAAATACAAATCCTGCAAGGGAAATGCTAGAAAGCAAGTGAAAGACTTGTTAAAAATATGTATGTACATATATATATACACACATTTTAAGAAAGCATTAGGATGAAAACTAATTTAATTTCATCCTAAGGAGGCCATATTACCATTTTCATCACCCTTAAGCTGTGTTTACATTAGCAAACAGTGCTGTGCAACAGGAGCATGAAACAGCTGTTGCTGAGATTCTGCCAGCACAGGATCTCTCCGTGTGTTGGGGGTTTGCTGCCAGCCAGCTCCAGGGTGGTCCTGCAGCCTGAGTGCCTCACAGAGAGCAGGGTACCCTGGCCACCGGGCTGCAGGAGCTCCCTGGTCCATTTTGTCCCAAGGGAACTTCAGGGTGAATGCTCTGAAATGTGAATCAGATGACAGGGATTGTGGGTGTGGCAGGAAACACAGTATTTTCCTCAAAAGCAGCCTCCTGACTGGCACTGAAATGCTTCCTGCAGCAGAAGCACTCAGGGCACTGTAAAGGGCTCACACTAGGACAGCAGAGTGCAACACTCACCCATACAACCCAAATGACCCAGTGACAACCAGGGGTATCTAAAAGAGCCTTTTCAGTAAGGGCTGTGAGAGCTTGTCAAGACAGAACCCAAGAACATGTTGTTCCTTGTGCTTGGGAGGTTCTGCAATTTGCCAAGAGGAAAAATGAAAACATTTGGTTTGTTATTTTGGAATTATAACATGGTATTCAAACAGCACACTTGGAGTTACGCAGGCTGCTTTCAGAGAACACTTGCAGGGATTTTCCAGAGGCTCCTGAAAAAGAAAGAAGACATTGAGGAGCTGAGGTGTGTCCAGAGAAGGGAACAGAGCTGGGGAAGGGTCTGGGGCACAAGTCTGATGTGGACCAGCTGAGAGAGCTAGGGTTGTTTAGCCAGAAGAAGGCTCAGGGGGACATAATCACTCTACAGCTACCTTAAAGGAGGGTGTAGTGAGGTTCTCTTTTCCCAGGGAACAAGACAGGAAGAGAGGAAATGCTCTCAAGTTGTCCCAGAGGAGACTTAGACTAGATATTATGAAGAATTTCCTCACTGCAAGGGTGGTCAGGCTTTGGAACAGGCTGCTCAGGGAAGTGATGGAATTGCCAGCCCTGGAAGTGTCCAACAAGGTGTGGATGTGGCACCTACAAGTTTTACTCAATCCCACAGTTCTTACAGCAAAGGAGGGGCTGCCACCTCTCCTGGTGGAAGATCCCCAGATTATTCATTCATTCCTTACCTGAAAGCTGCTTCTGTTCATTATTTGGAACAACAGACTTCAACAGCTGAGGAGGAAGAAAGCTCAGATATCAAAGATGAGCTTGTTTCATTAAATCACAGTCAAGTTATTAAAAATCACAGTCAAGTTATTAAAAATCACCATTTCCTTTCAATAGTCTTAAGTGGGAAAATGCTGGCAAGGCACCCAAACCTCATTGAGATGAGCAGCTCAGGCTTTTACTGGTTATAAAACAAGTAATTTATGGCAGCATGTACAACATGATGTTATCTCCCTTGCAATTTATGCTCTCAGAGGGCAGAGAAGAGGTGGTTGTGCAGGAATTACACATCCCCTGCTCCTTCCAGCAGATGCCTCTCTGCACAAACACCACTTTCACAAAAATCTCTGCTTTGTTCTAATCTAGGTCTCCAAAAAGTTTCTCTGAGGACAACTACTACTGGCAACAAGCCCAATAAATGTTGTATTTTTGTCATTTCTTTAAGTTTATCCCAGAAATATAAGAGGTTTCTTAGTTTACATTCTGCTGAGGGATTCCCTTCAAGCTTTCCTTTAGATCCAAGGCAAGGGGGAACCTGGTAATTTCAAGGCATTTTGATGCCAGCAAGGAGTGGGATAAAGCAGCCTGTTCTGCACAGTCTCCTCGGGACTGCAGCTCCGAGCAAGTGATGAATCTGCCACCAGATGTCACCCAGAGGCCACTCCTCTCCCCTGCTGAGACTCCAGCAAGCCTCTGGATTTCCTGCAGGCAGCAGGGATGGTCACAGCACTCATCACTCCTGCACTTACACCCACATTTAACTTTGGATTTCTACTTTGTGCCCTTAGAAAAGAAAAGAAACTTTTAAGCTGCAGTACATCTTCAAAGTGCTTTGAAAGCTGCAGTACACTGCAAGAACTAAAAGCAAAATGCTATGGTTATTGATATCTTTACTGGAAGCCTGTATTTCTCCTTTTACAGAATTTTATCACCCTGCAGAATTTACCCTTATCCAACTCTTAGGGGAAAAAACAAGCTACTGAGACAGATAATGAATTGCAAGAAAACAGCAAGCAAGAAGCATCTTGTGACAAGGGAACATAAAAGATTTCCTATCATAATAAAGACAATTATAACAGGGAAAAAACCAGCAGAATAAAAAATTATAAAGTCTAAATAGATAAAGATTATTAGACACCTTTTACAAATTCAGGAATACACTTAAAACCTTCATTTCATGGGAAGCATCCAAAGGAAGCACAGAGGGACACAATTTCCACTGCTTAATGTTCAGAAAGTTCCATGTGCTTTGCTGCAAATCAGAATTTTGCTTTTTATCAAATTATTTACCAGAGAGAGATCTAGAAAGCACAAATTTAGCATTGCAGCTTCAGTGGTAGTGATAGACATAAGAAACTGTTATTGAAAATATTTGTTGTGGTAAGAAACAGAGGAAAAATGGATGACAACAGTTTTGAAGAAATTTTACTTCATGTTTTCAATCTCCTAAATACAACTAAATATCCAGTGCTTCCAATGGTAAATCAACAATTCCTTCAGCTCTGAACAGCAGCATCTAAAAAGAGGGATGAAATCACTCCAGTAAAAATTTCAGCTTTTTGAAACTTGTCCATCTCCATTTAAACAAGTCCTAACTTTTCCCTTAAAGTCAAGGTTAAGCTAAAACCTTTGCCACAAATATTCTTCTACTCTTAAAACATTCTGTCTGTGTTGATGATTTGAAAATTGAATTTGGAACTCTAAGTAAGGATATTTATTCTAAACAATAGACAAATTAGAAGCCACAACTCAGTTGTTTATTAAGAACATCCCAACACAGTATTTGAACTTTTGCTTAGAAAAGAAATTACTTTAAGGAGAAAGCAAGATTCAGACTGTTCACAAAGATCAGTTCTGTGCATACCTGAACCTCCTTGTTTCCTCTCACCCAGCCATACTTCACCACCACACACCTGGGAACAGTTCTTCTGGTTCTGCTAAGTTATGGGGAATGTTTACGCTTTCAGAACTTTAAACAGTGAAGCCAGAAAATGAAAACAAAACTCCCAAACAATCAAACAGGATGCAGAAAAACAAGTTTTCACCTCACTTCACCTCTAATCCCCTATAAATAAATGCAGTAAAAAAAAAAAAATCAAGTTTTACAGTGGCAATAATTTCAATAATTTCCTATTATTAAGTAGTAATTGGGTACTTTTCTTAGTGTGACCTATCACTGTAACCACCCAGTGGTAACAAATGGACTTTCAGTACCTGTAATAAAACAGCTCAGAGTAAACAAAATACTGATCTTGAGAAAACATACAAAAATCACAACTATTATATTAAAAACTCTGTTGTAATTACATACAAAAAAACTATCAGAGCATTTGGTTCATACAGTGTTGCTGCAAGTTTTGAAATCAAGTTCTTGATCCAGGACAGTCAGTGCTAGAAATGGGCACCCATCTCAAGTCTGCCTGCTTGGGGACATGGACAGAAAAACTTGTGTGTGTTCAAGACAAAACTGGAACCATAAGGTAAAAGGACAGGAAGCAATCAATGCAAAGAAGCTAAAAAAAAAAAAAGATTTCAACAATGCCAAGTTCCCTGCACTGTCCCATTAAAACACATTTAGAACATCCACAGCAGCTGCCTCCATTCACAGTGTTTTGTTTTGAGTTTTCTATTGGTTTTCCTGGGACTCAGATGTCCATTTAAACACTTAGCCCTCCCAAATTTCCAAAACCAGATGCAATGACTTCCTGCTACAGCTCAGGTGAGAGTTTCAAATGGTGTCCTGAAGAGAATGTACAATTTGTGAACCCCTCATTACACATGGCTGCCAATCCATATTTAAATGCAACCATGAATAACCAAACTCCACTCTAATGACAGTGAAAAACCTGAAGGAATACCCATAAAAATATTTGTTAGCTCTTGGAAAGTGCCCACAAGCATCACTTGTGTTAATACCCTGTATCTCAGCCTGCCACTCAGCAAATCTTACTCAGAGAAGAGAAACTGCATGGCAGCAACAACCCAGCCCCTCTCTCAGCTGTGACAAAATGCTCAGAATTTCTGAGGTTCAAACACAGTCAGTTCATGCCCATCATAGAACTCTCTCAGTTGGTTTGACTCATATTTTATGGAAGGTTGTTCCATTTGCATCCCAGGCTCCAGAGCGTTCTGCCCTACTATTTTAAGGTTCACCACTTTTATTTTCCAGGTGTTATTCCTCATGGGGCAGCTGATGAGCCCAAAGATCTGCTCAAAGACACCCAAACAAGTGTTGTCTCTGTGAACTGTGCCAGCCACTGCCACCAGCACCAATCCATGAGGGGACATGGCACATTTCAGGCCACTGGAATGCAAATTTGGGTTGAAGAGGAGACATTCTTCTTTAACCAAGGACAGCAGGCGCAGGCTCACCATGTCTGCACCCACATACTGTTCCACGTTTTTTTCCAAAGTGTTGTAACAGAACTTCAGTTTGGCATCCTCCCAGAAATGCTGTGGTCCCCATGTTGCTTCAGATTTTACTCCCAAAGGGTGCTGAGAGTTCAGGAGTTCAAAGTACCACTGGCAGAATTCTCCTCCTAGGCCAACAATGTCATCTTGTGGTGACTTCTGTCCATTTCCATAACTCTGCAGTCAAGCAAATTTTTTTCTTAAAACTGTTCAGCAAGATTGTCACTTAGAAAAACATCAAATCGTGCACACACTTACATTAAACTTTTAAGTGTTCTGAGCCAGAGTACCTGAAGAGAAATACCACAGTAAAATCTCATTTCTTTTTACTAACTTGATTATCTAATACAGAGAACCAGGACAGGTTCTTTGAATTACACCTAGAAAGTGCTTCACTGTCTTGGGCTCCTTACAAAGAGGAAAGTCACGGTTCTACTGAAAAAGGGCAGGGGAAGGATGTAAAGTAACATTTTTTGGAATTAAATGTACGGTTACTTTGTAGAACTTCACAGTATTTATGACTTGACAGCAAGACTTTTTCCAGAAGTAAATCAAATATCAAGTTTGCTAACACCAAAGTCTGGTAAGTATTAAATTGTGTTATAAACACTAAGTAATTAAGTGTGAAAAGTCTGGAGAATTCTGTATAGAAATGCTGTATTTGCTTCACTACAAGTTGAAATCATTTCCAATTCTGTTACATAGGTTCAGGTTTCCCATTTCTTCAAAGTGGTGAAGAAAGAAGGGATGAGAATTCAGAGAAAACAAATGCAAAGAAAGATGTATATGATAAATAAATCAACTGACTTTCTTTTAAATTTATGAATGTGTTTTAAGTATTTCATTTATGTACCATTAACCACAGAATTTTGTTAAGAGAAACCTTTCTATTTTCTCGAATTATGCACATAGAAAATTGTTTTGAAAACATTTCTCAGCTAAATGCTAACTGTCATCAGTTAATCCCTGAGTGAAAGCTCAGTGCAAGAGGTTCTCAACAGGGACAGAGGTCTCACAGCCCAGGAGGTGAGGCTGCTGCCCATGAGGGCTCTGAACTACAGCAAGGGGGCCAATCAGAACCATAAATGAACCTCCAAGTTCATTACACCATGAGGATTTGCTAAATAGCAAAGACTTAAACTTCAAAATAACCTATTATTGCCAAAACACATTTCCTTTTACTGTATTAAGTGTTACAAATACACGAGCAAATTTTGTTCAGCTGTTTCTGGCTTATATAGAATTCATTGTTGCAGCTCAAGAGAACAGCTCTTACTCAGCTGAATATGTGTTGCTTTTCCTTCTGATCAAGGGACATCTGCATGGACATTTTTTACATCTCAAAGAGGAAAGAGTCATCTAAAATACAGGGATAAGGAATGTCTCCTCTGTTCCTACCAGTGCTCTGTTGTGGGTTTACCAGATCTTGAGAGCAGGCATTCCTTACTACAGCTCTGAACAGAGCCCACCATAATGATGAGTTCAGTTGTTTGGAAAAAAGGGAAAACAAATGGCACTGACCTGTCACTGCTGGAACTGCACATTTAATCAATATATAAATTCAGTAAAATCAGATGGGCCTCTGCAGGATTTTTGTACTACTGTTTTCAGTTGTCCCTGAACCCACAAAACTGTATCTTCTAATTTTAGCCTATAGGACAATCTAAAAACTCAAAGCATGGAGAAGACCCTGCACGTTAGAGTTCAAATACTGTGAAAAACAGAGCAGACACCTTCAGATGTTGTCATTTAAAACCCAATTAAAACCAAACCAACCAAGAGTTAAAAAGGTTTGGGACCTTCCTACAGTTGCAGAGCCACATGTGCATCGCTCATCCTGTGGAGGCAGGGCTGAGCAGCTGGAGGATTTCCAGCAGCAGCACTCACCTGCGCAGGAGGTTTTCTGTGCCCTGGCTCCGGGGCTCGAGCCGTGAGCTGCCCGCTCCAGAGCTGCCTCACACGCTCGATCAGGACATGTTTCTCCGAGGAGGGAGGCACCGAGATTCCCTGCGCCGCCAAATACTTGAAGATGATTTCTCTGTAGACTTTCCGGCGCCTCAGAAGTTCCTCCACGTTTTGGCTGTACACCAGAATAGCATGAATAGCCTCTGCAAAGAAAGAAATTGAAGTTAGAGTTATCTTCTTTCACAATAAAACCCCAAACCTAAGCCATTTCTTACACTCCTGAGCTCCAAACACAGTACAAGTCAAAGTGGCAGGACATGAAGAGACCAAAAGTCTGCAAACTGAAATCTGGCCTCATCATATCAGACACAGAACACATCACCCAAAGACTTGCAAATATGCTTCTTGGACAGGAATTCCAGTGAAGTGTTTCAGCAATGCACAGTAGTTTGAGAAAGTGAGGTTCCACCTCCTTCCTGAAGCCTGCTGGAAATGGAACTAAATCTGGTTTATTTCCACACTAATGTGATTACAACTCTCATGTTCATAAGACTATGCATCCTAGCACAACAACAGTGCATTGAATGGCAACAATAAACAAAATTCAGCTACAAGGCTCTGTAGCAGAATGAAGAAATATGACAAACTTAAATTCTCTTTTAAAGCAGGTGTAGCAGACAGTTCCCACCTGAACTGAGGCTAGCACTTAACAAGGGATCTATAAAATCCCTAAATCTAACCAGAAAGAAATAGCTAAAGTAAAACACAAAAATCTTTTCATGTAACCTACAACCACAGCAAAAAGTAGGGGGAAAAAGGTGAGGAAAAAAACCCAAAACCTACAGGTAGAAGACATTTTAAAGAAATGTATTGGGCAAATCTTACAGGTTTTAGTTACGTCATATGACATATACTCAAGGCCAAGTAGGAGCACATATATATATACATATTCATCAGGCATATGTGTATATACATACATATATACGACTGTACATATACATAAATATACCTGAGCCACTGGGCAACAAACCCAGTGCCCTCAGGTAACTGACATAAAAAATTAATTCTTATGAAACAAATCTCAACAAAGTGATGGAGGACAGTCACAACTGGAAGCATCCTGCAAAAAAAGTTCAGTGGAGATTCGTATTTTACCCTTTCAAAACCTGAAAGCAAATGTGACTGACGCCAACAGCGAGAGACTGTTTCAATACTTTTAAGGAGCTTTCAATACTTTTAAGCACTAAGGGCACAGCCGTGCTCGCAGCTCACTGCAGGGGTCTGACAGGACAGAGATGCTCGAGGAGCTGAAGGTTGGCCACGCGCCCGTCACCACCGCAATCTCCTCGGCCTGAACACCCCCAAGCTCCGAGCAGCCCACCCCCCAGAGCTGCTGGGCCGGGCAGGAGAAGGCTCCCGGCAGCGACCCCGAGCCCCCGGGGCAGCCGCAGCCGCCGGCCCAGGGATGCGAACGCAGGGCCCGGCCCAGCTCGGAATGCCTCGGGCCGGCGGTGCCGGCGCTGCCCGCGCACCTTGGCGGCTCTCCGGGTGCACCAGGCGGTTGGTGACGGTGTCGGTGAGCGCCAGCAGCTCCTCGGTGTGCAGGAGCTCCAGCAGGTCCCGGCACCCCGCCCGCTCCCGCTCGCTCAGCCCCGGACCCGCCATGGCCGCGCCTGGTGCAGCGCCGAGCGCCCGCCGGAAAGAGCGGCCGGCACCGAGGTTCCGCTCGGAGAAAGGGCCGGGGGTGGGGGGGGAGCAAAGCGGCTGGGAGGCGGGTTTAAATGTATAGACTGGGTGTGTTAAACATACGGAGAGCTTATAACTGAGTGTGTCCTTCCCTTCTAGCCCGCCCTGATGTCGTGCTGAGCTCTAGGGAGATGCTGGAGAGCAGCAGCATGCAAAAGGACGTGTGGGTACTGGTCCATGGACAGGGGATGGGAGCCAGCCCTGGAGCCAGGGGCAACATCCCTGTCCTGGGGACATCAGGGACAGCTTGGACAGCCAGAGGATTGTCCAGCTCTGCTCTGGGTTGGGACAGCCTTACCTCCAGTCCTGGAGAAGCTCTGGCCACCGCACTATCAGAAGGTTATAAAGCCATTTAGAGTGTCCATGGGGAAGGGCCTTGAGGAGAAGCTGTATGAGGAGGGCTTGATCTCTTCAGCTGGATAAGAGGAAGGCTTGCTGCAGTCACAACATCCTCCTGAGGGGAAGAGAAGGGACAGACACTGATCTCTCTGTGGTGACGGTGACAACAGCCGAGGGAATGATCTGAAGTGTCAGGGAAGGTGTAGGCTGGATATTAGAAAAAGGTTCTTCTTCTCAGCACTAGCCTGGCAGAGCTCAAAAAGCATCCTGATGGTGCTCTTAGCACAGGGTGTGACTCTTGGGGTCCTGTGCAGGGCCAGGAGTTGGACTCTGTGATCCTTAGGGGTCCCAGCCAGATCAGGATATTCTCTGATGTCATTCTATGATTCCTACCACTGGTCACCTCACCTGGACCAAGCCAGAGTCCAATCCACTTGTACCTGAGGCAAGAACTGCACATTGCCAAATGGTGCATGGCCCCAGGACTGGGAAATCCAACAGCACAGCACCTGTTTAAGGAAACAAAGTCCTATAAGCTAAAGATGCTTTTTGTTACTAAATGCAAGCTCTCAACCTTGAGTTGCTCTTCCACCTAGCACCAGTGGTAGACACCTCATAAAAGAGACAAGAGGAAAGATGAACAAAAAAGGGAAGAGAAGGCAGCAGAAGCTTTCACTGAACTAAGCATCATAAGCTACATGCTGAGAAATAAAGGTGCAAAGAGTGCTTGACCTCTCTGTGGCAGAAAAAGCCAACATTCTGCTCCACTCTATGCTTTAATAGGGACGTGTGAGGAGACCACCTTTCTGTGCTAAAACTGCCTGTGATTTCAAACCCAGGAACACACAGATCCTGTAAAGACACACAAAAGAACTGCGTTTTTACTTACTGCAAAAGATGCTTTTGCACTAAGAACTGAACTCATCATTATGGTCGGCTCTGTTCAGAGCTGTAGTAAGGAATGCCTGCCCTCAAGATCTGGTAAACCCACAACAGAATACTGATGAAAACAGAGGTCACATTCCTTATCCCTGTATTTTAGATTATTGTTTCCTCTTTAAGATCTAAAAATTCTCCATGCACATGTCCCAGGTTGATCAGAAGGAAAAGCAACACACATTCAGCTGAGTAAGAGCTGTTCTCTTGAGCTGCAGCAATGAATTCCATATAAGCGAGAAACAGCTGAACAAAATTTGCCCATGAATTTTAAATTCAACTTTAAGATAAAAATTCAAACTGGAAGCATCTGGAAAGCTTTAACATAATAATGCTTATTGTCTGCTGTGCCAAACTTCCCCTCACGAGCACAATGATTTACTATTCTTGATAAGTATCAATCCTGCAAACTACAAATTAGACAACGCATCTGAGAAATATAAATTACCTCTGCTTCATTTTGCTTATGTTTCAATAAACCTTTATTTAGATTTGCAACCTTCAAAGAGTAATGCCCATCCAAATCTTCTGGAATTCAGGGAAACAAAAAAAAAAAACCACCATCAAGATACCATTAAAAAAATTAGAGTGAGATCAAGATCTTTGCTCTGTTTTCAGTAAGGAATCAGGAGGTGGGAAGGGAAGGCAGGGAGAGGTTGCCTCAGAATAGTCACATTGCCATTAATCCTTAGAGAGGAAAAGTATACTGGCATCAGAGAGATTGGAGAGACTTCTCAATATTCAGGACTGATGTCTCTCCACAGCCCCTTTGCTGTTCTAAACCAAGACCAGCCCTTTCAGCAGGATTATTTATAATATATTTACATATTATCTTACTTGGTAAATCTTTTCCCCTTTGGAGGTAATGGGGTGGAAAAGGGATAATCTCAGAAGTAGGTTTCATTTTTTTCCTCTCTTTCTCATAACTCAAAATTCCCTTTAGAGTTTTTATTCAAACTTTTAATTGACTTGAGCATTGAGCAGGAACTGGCATTCCCAAAGGGGATGAAATAGGAAAATTATTAGCCTATATAAACCAAAAGGTGAACAGTACTCTTGTAACAATCAATTGCTGTTGTAATTTAAGGAGTTACTACAAGGACTGTCACTGCATTTTCTCCCTCCTGTCCGTCTGAGGAGGGGCGAAGAAGTTTATATTTGGTGTTAATATATTTAACAATTTATTTATTAAATGGCTTATGTACACATTGCCATTTTGATAAATAGTTTTCCTGGCAAAATGTACCTGAGATCCCATACCCTTACGCTCACACTTACCTTCCTCAGGCAAGGACCTTGTCAAAATTATCCACAGTAGAAAACAAAGGTAAGTGTGAAGTTACACACATCCAAAAAAGTCACCATCCAAAATTTTCCAGGAGACAGTCAAAAAGCTGCAGTCAAAAAAAACTAGGAATTTACAGGGCTGTAAATAATAAATCTAAATTATCCAGTATTTTCAGGCATCAGTGTTGAACCTTCTGAAGAAAACAAAAAAGCAGTTACACTCTGTCTTGCTGTCTGAACTTGACAACCAACCAGAAGCAGAGCTATCTTAAAACAGCTGCACCCTGACTTGTCTGTGGCCCCAGATTTGGATTTTGAGTCCTAGGAATTAACTGCTGCCCCCATTTTGAAGCTTGGTCTGTTCAAATGCAAATATCCACACACTTGGAACATCAAGACCTGGGCATCTTCACACAGGTGCCACTCAACCATCACGTACCAAACATAACACAGTAGCTCTGAACATGACAGCAGCATTTCCAGAGTGATTCTCCAAAAGACAAGATCAGTTTCTATCAACAACAAAGACAATGTTTTATTGAACAAATCTATGTACAGTACAAAAGGTCTTTAAAATGAAACACTACTGTAGATTTATTGCAGTTTGATGGCTCAGTTTTAATTTGTACTCTTATATAAAATGCAAAGTAAAATAATTTAACATTCAACAAGGAAGCACAAATTTCCTTTCTTGCTGAACCTGTAACAGCTTTTACAAATTAAGAGTCCCAAAATGCATACACTGCATTTAATCAGAAAGGTGTTATACAGTACCAAATAAATTAAGAAAATAGTAACACTACCACCCCCCTTTGGGTCTTTTGTCCATAGCACTGGTGTTAAACAATAAAAGAAATGAGTACAGCTGAACCTTCCATGTGATATTAAAATCACAAAGTTTAATGTTATAAATTATCCAAACTATACAATTCATATAATTTTTATGAATATGGCTAAATAACCAAAGTACCAGTGACCTTGCCCCACAGATATGACCACTTGCAACCTAGTTTCAGTATTCCTTTTTTTTTTGTGAAAGATGCCTACACCAAGCGGCAGCTTCTTGAAATTAGAAATTCCATGACCTTTACAGTGAAACGTGATGGGGTTAGAGGAAACACGCTTAAAAGCAAAGTCCAAACCCAACAGAAGGAATGTTATTAATTGCACCAACTTTGATCCAACAAGGCTCCTAAGCTCATGGACAACTTCAGGCAGCTTTAGGGTAGCTGGAGGCTTACATTACACATGTACTTCAGGATTCATTGAATCAAAGTGATACATCTTCAAGGATTTCCAATTACATCACACAATGCTTTATGTCTGGGGAAAAAAAAAACAAAAAAACAAATGGCCAAAAAACCTCCAACTTTTAAGACCTGTAACCTGTTTACAGCCTTAGAAGTTGCAGGCTTGGTCTGGGGTAATACTCAAAATAAAAGAATCCTTAAAAAGCATGGAGAATTATTCCACACATGATCCAAGTATCTTTTTGCCTCTGATTAAAGTTGCTTAATACTGCAACTATCTGACAATACCAACAGGTATCAGAGAGTAGCTTACAGAAAATGCAATGTCTTTTGAAGTGAAAATAATTATTTTAAAACATTACCACCCACTTGCTCCTTTAAGTCAATTTAACAGATTCCTGATAATTGTAGGATGATGCTCATCTTCACCTATGTAAGAATTCATAGTTCCTATTTTCCAGAGTGTACACACTGAATACATGAGAGAAACAAAGGGTGGTGTCCCAGAAAAGCATCTTGGAACAAAAATTACTTTAATGCAGGTACAAAAAATTATGGTCACAGTTTATGCATGTACACAGATGCATTTATCTACACACTTAAACCAAAGATAATACAAGTCTCAATCATGTTTTAAAGCATCTTCAAACATATGGAGCTCCACGGAAAAGGCAAAAAAAGCACCAAAGATTAAAAGGTACATTAAAAAGACTTCACAGAAACATCTTTTTTGTATCTTTGTTGACTCACTTTTTAGATTTTAAGAACTGTAATACTTGAAAAATGAACCTTTTTTTTTCTCCCAAATATATTTAAGCAATGTCAAGCAAAGAAGAGGGAGCCTGGAAACATTCAACACAGTACCCAGGTCCTTAAAAATTAGTTGGTATCTTAAAGTAAAAAACGTGAAAGTGCATTTGTCTGATAAGGACCCCATTAACTTTATGTTTAAAAAATTTAATGTATTTATACATGTAAATATATATATAGTGTGTATATATGTATATATAATGAATGATGCATTTAAATCAGGTTTTTTGCAACTGCAAAAAAAATTCTTTGGTGCCTCAAACATCATACAAATCTCTGGAAGTGGGCCACAACTGG